TGAAGTGGGATAAGAGTAAATTATTTGCCCAGTAAAATCAGCCAAAGCGATTTGGAGCTCTTCAGAATTAAGAAGAGCGTGTTCAAAAGCTGTTTTCGTTACCCCAAAGTATATAAAATGAGGGTCAGAACCCAAGAGCTGCTGAGTGCGGGTGCGTCCTTGCATTAATAAGTTAATGCGCTGAGAGAAACGTGTAAACAACTGTAGCAGAGGGCGATAAGGAAGAAAAAGCCACTCAAGTTCTCCAACGTCAGGAGTAAATTGACAGAGCGCGCCTGTAAGACTATGAGGAGTATTTAATAGGAGAAGGTAAACAGAATGATTTATCTGTAAATGAGACAAAAATTTTTCTTTAATGGCTTGGTTAATAAGTATTAATTCATGGCGTGCTTGGGGAGAGAGTGTCCTCATAGAAGTTAGAGCAGGGTCACCCTTAAGGGTCTCAAATAAGTGGGTCAGTTGAGAGGTTTTTATGCTGAGTGAAGGTCGCAGCCAATTAATATGACCAAGGATCTTTTGGAGGTCATTTAGAGTTAAGGCCTTGGAAATTATAATTTCTGGTGTTTTATGGGTGTCAAGATAGTATCCCAGATACCGCCACCGGGTGAAAGACTGAACTTTTTCAGGGGCTGCTTGTAAGCCAAAACCTTGTAACGCATGTTGAACAGAGGCAAGAAGTGAATCAAGTTCTTCCGGTTTGGGATGGGCTAGGAGAATGTCGTCCATATAATGATATATAAGACGTGAGGGAAAGGCTCTGTGGACTGGCTTAAGAGCTTTATCAACATAATATTGACAGATAGTTGGACTATTGACCATGCCCTGTGGGAGAACAGTCCACTCAAAATGCTGCACAGGACGACAATTATTCACAGAAGGAACTGAGAAGGCAAATTTAGCACAGTCATCGGGATGGAGAGGGATGGTAAAAAAAACAATCTTTAAGATCAATAATAATAATATGATATGTTTGAGGAATGCAGGCCGGATTGGGAATTCCTGGTTGGAGAGGTCCCATAGGGACAAGGTGTTGATTAACAGCCCGTAAGTCAAGAAGGAGCCTCCATTTTTTGGATTTTTTGGGGACACAGAAAATAGGTGTCTTCCAAGGGCTGCAGGAAGGCCGGATGTGTCCAGCCCCTAATTGTTCCTGGACAAGTTTTTTAAGGTGTTTTAATTTTTCTTCTTTAATGGGCCACTGCTCAACCCAAATAGGAGGGCCGGTATCCAGGTTAATTTTAGCAAAGGGTCTGTTTGAGCAGTGGCCCCTATGAAAAATCCTGAGGGGTGCCAATTTGAACATTCCACTGGGAGAGTAAATCTCGTCCCCATAATACAGTAGGTAAAGGAAGGATAAAGGGACAGATAGAAGCGGGCTGTCCATCAGGGCTATAGCAAACAATGGGAAATGTACTTTGAAAAGGACACTGTGCTCCTCCAATTCCTGTGAGGGTTTCAGCAGTTTGCTTCTTGGGCCAAGAAGAGGGCCAGGAATCAGAGGAGAAGATA